ATTGTATATAGTTACAAGAATCTTAATAAAGTACTAGTGTGGCTGCTTAAGAGCAAAAAAAAAAAAAAAAAAAAAAATAGTAATCCAACAGCTGGAAATCGAAAGCATTGGCAATATGCATATCGATATTTTAGGCAACAAATAAAATATAAATGAGAATCTGATCATCATTATGGTTATAGTTACAAATGCAGTCGTATTATAAAAAAGACAAAAAATTGCAAAATTGAAGATACAAAGAAAGCTGAATATTTATCATCAACAGATACTACAAATCTTATTCAAAAGGTCCATGCTACTATTTACCTTTTTTTAGATGAATTATGGCAAATACCAAATGAAATCTCTTTGGTAGCAACAATATTAGATTTATGAATAAAAAATTTTCTATTTTTAAAAGACTCTGATTATATACAAAAAATTCAAGCTGAATCACTTTTAACAAATTTATATAGTCAACTTAAACAGAATATAATAGTTTTAAACCAAGCAGAAAAAACAATTAAGATAAGTTTAGTTAAAGATGATAACGATATATTTACAGAAATGTGAACTAATAATAAATCAGAAAGTATTGTACCAACTGAAGATGACATCATACACTATTTGAATTATCCTAAAGAGCCAAAAAAAACAGATCCATTGGAATAGTGATGAAAACACAAAACAAGTTTTTCTATTTTATCACAATTGGCTTGCAAATATCTTGCAATTCTCGTAACTTCTGTTCCTAGTGAATGACTTTTCTCAAACATTGGCAACTACATCTTATCAAAAAGAACAAAATTATTTTCTAATTTGGTAAATTGTATCTTATTTGTAAAACATAATAGTACATATTATCTAATGTTTTCACCCCTAATGTTAAAGCAATGAAAGCTGTTATATTTTTTTAAAAAATAATATCTCATTTAATAATACCCAATGCTGAATTTGTATGCTAGTATTTTTTAATATATTGTTGTGATTAAAGTTTTGTTTTAATACTTAGAGATATAGCATATAAGCAGTGTACTCAATCAATGTATTTAGATCAATGAAAAGTGAAGTAATATTTTAATTAGCATTAAGATAGATATTGTAAATATATAATCTTGGCCTAACATTGAATTTACATATTGGTTTAATTTATAATTAGTAACTCTAGCCTTAACAAAAATTATTGAAAGTACAGTATTATATAATTTGAAAATATTTTTTTTATATAAGCATTTAAATCAACTTAGAGTCAATTCTAACTATACCAGTATGTAATGCAAACATGTTATATTAAATTTCTAATATGTTATTCTGATATGTTAAACTGAATAGCCAATAATTTTGTTTATTAAAGCTTCTAACTTACACATAAAATTTAAATTGGTCAATTAGTTTTATAAGAAATTGTAAAAAGGTGTCACAAGATACCATAAAGTTAATCAAACATTCACTATGTTGCATAATTTTTTATAATTATAAAATCAGATATAATAAAACTGGTTAAACTAAAGAAACCAAATATATTAAAACTGGATTAAATATTGTTACAGTACCATGGCCTTCTTAACAGCAGTACTATAATGACGACATGGCTACAGGGATCCGTTACAAGTTTATAGCGGTGTCCAAGAGGTAAGTATAATTCCTTAGTTTGTAAGAAACTATACCCTTCTCTCTGAGGCAGTTCGGTAAAACAAGAGATGATAGTTTATACTTTAAACAAAGATAA